AGTACAGCTTGAGCTGGAATTGCTGACAATAGCACACAATATCGTGATACGTAGTACAGCTTGAGCTGGGGTCGCTGATAGTAGCACACAATATCGTGATACGTAGTACAGCTTGAGCTGGGGTCGCTGATAGTAGCACAAAACATTGTGATACGTAGTACAGCTTGAGCTGGGATTGCTGACAGGCGATATAACAAAGAGACAGGTAGAATATCACCAGTGACAGCTAAGTAAGACCCATATAAATATAATATGGATGGCAGTCAGTAATTTGGAGATGAGTCTTGGAAAAAAATTGTATTGAAAAATATTGAAATATAGAATGTTTCATTGACAATAACAAATAATATGGCATATATAAATGTTTCTGAGAATACATGCTATTTGTTATATATGAATCTTTGTACAAACAGTTGAACCTATGCCAATGAATAATTGAACACATCATGTTTAGTTATTAATCTATAATTTAATGTGTTAGGAAATCTTACTGTTTGCCTGATTACTAAAACTCATACTTTCAGTGTGAGACTCGTGCATCTGGGTCTGTACTCGCATGCATTAGTAACAAAATCTCAAATTTTGTTTAAATTAGTAGCTTTCTGTAATGAATTGTAGTTGGTCAGCTAGATCTAGGTCAATTAAGCATCACATTGATCAAGGAAACGTGCCAGAATATACCATTTTCTTCATTGAATAAAATTATTTTATGGGGGGCATGCTCCCTGATGGCCGTGGAAGGTGACTGCTTTCAGCACTTGCAGTACTTTAGTGCATGATAAAATTGTACTGTTTCAAGTCTCACTCAGACTAAGAGTTGGCTGCTGTGTGATTGTTAAGTAACCAACAAGAAAGAATAAAGATGGAAGGTAAATATGAGCATTTGCAGCTTGACGGAATCAGATTAATAATTTTAGTATTGTTTTAAAACTATGGAATTTCATATCGTGGTATGCTCTTCAGATGGATATATTAATTATTATGGAGATTATGTAGTGCTAGCATGTTCAAGTATGGGCAGTTTGTTGATGTTTTTCATTGTGTGCAAGTCAAAGGGCTATAGCAGGATAAATGAAATGTGAGTACTTTTAGTAAAAGTTTTACTTAGTAGCAATTCTTATTCAATGTAGTCAGCAACATTATGTAATAACAAAATGAAAAACTTGGCACTTGAGTAATACAATATCACTGTCAGTGATGAACATGTTTACGTACGATAATATTTGGGTTTGTATCATTCACCATAGCCTCTACGAGTATTGTGCATTGTGATGGTGTAGTAATAATGCAACTATAAATATTGTGGACATTTTATCAATTCCATGTATGAAATGTCATGTATAAATAATTTGAATTTACAACTTTGTTATTTATGATATAATCTCCATCTTGTGAACAAGCAAAACTGGCATAAACCTGAAAATTTTTTTAATTAACATGATTAATTCTTAAATATATGGTCATGTTAATTCAAAGATCTTGCCACTAGCGGCTTAGCAGTAAGTATGATGGCTTATAATGGGGGAAAAAGTGGGTTTCAGTACCTGGATTGGCCAGAACACGGATAGTCCATTGTGTATCTTTTGTGATTAACAACAAACAAAAAATTCAAATATCTTTCATTAGAAAAATCTCTATAGAACAGTAACCATTATTATCTGATAGTCATACGGAAGGAAAATTAACCCTTTAACCTTGAATACAAATTAACAATAATCAATTTACATACATAGAAAAAGGCATTTTAACAGTGAACCAGTAGCCATAATACAAAATTATATTCACAACATACAAAATAAAATAAATATTCTAAAAAGAAAAATAAGAAATGCAAAAATTATATATACACAACACTAAATCATCCTTTAACATTTTAATGTTGGTAGTCAAGTAAGATAAAACTAAAATAAAGATACATGACACTTAACTTAACAAAATAAAATAAACCCACTCACACAACAAAAAGCATGAGGTTCCAACAATAAACTCTCAATACCCCCAGAATAAATATTCCTGGGTCCAGTGCCTCTTTTTCCCCTGCAATTATGATGACCTGACCATTCACATATATTTTACATTCATTTTCCAAACAAAGTTCACATCAACGGTCTTGAGTGATGTTTTTGCTCAGAGTGCCTGATATGTGTCACTTATTAGTGTTCTCTATTAATCACCTTTATACTCCATCTGGACCATATTAAGCCCCACCCAGTCCCGAGAGAGCTGGGCTGAACATACATTTTTTGGTTCAAGTTATTTGATGGTGGCCAGATTGGACTTGGTCTCATCTAGTTTTCAGGAGCTGTAGGAACAATGTTCATTGCATGTTGTCGGCTTTCCTGCACCCATTGTACCATCAATCAGAATCGGTATTTTTATGTACCTTACTGCTGAGCAAAGTATGGGCAGTTCACTTGAAAGTGATCCAATGTTCCACATTCAAAGCAAATGCTTTACTCCTCTCTACCAAGACAATGTCCTGGAAAAGTAGGTAATAGTATATTAACAATGAGAAGACTGGTATACCTCTACCCTTACGCTAAATACCAGGTTGGTTACATTTCCATTCAGGATGTGTTTATGGTTGTTTAACCCTCTGCTAGGTTTGGACCTGATGCAGTGTGAGTGTTTGAATAAGTTTATCCAAGGTGAAATCACTGCAGTTGCCACTTAGGACTTCTTCCTCTCTTGCTACTGGCTTGAAGTTACCACTTCATACCACATTGCGAAAAAAACTGCCTCATTAATGGTGAGAAGATCTAACACATCCGAGTGATGCCACATTGTCTTATAGTTTGTTGTCCTTCCACAAACTTGTCAGTGAGGTTTTATTTTTGATTTACCAAGGCCATTGCATATTTACCATGGTGGCCAACTCTTCGTCTTGGTTGCGAGTCCTTCTAGTTGAGTAAACTACCATTTCCTTAACTCTTAAGCCTTTTTAAACTTGTATCACTCAAGACTAAGAGTAAGGTGCAGTATACACTTAATCAGAAATTGTATACTCAGCAATACGATATCCTGTGGTCACAGCATCAACATTTTATCTTTCCTATCTATTCTGTGATATATTTGTGCAAAATTGAGTTGACCTTAGAGCAGTGGGATAGCTCCACCTTATAACTGGAGATTCAGTCAAGATACTGCTTATGAAGTAACACAAAGTCTGATTAACTGAGTCATGAATCCATGTACCAGACTGACTAAATCCATCATTCAGTAGTATGCAAGAAACGTTCCATTTACTCAGAGCAACAGGCAATATCCATGTGACTGGTCATTTTCATTCTGACAAAGATGAGGCCATAATGTCTATATATCACCTAAATGACAATTGAAGGATACTACTGTCAACATCCTTGCTCAACATATAATATTGCAGCAATATCTTCCCCAAGAAGAACAGGTACTATATCCTAGAAAACATCAAAGGAACAAAGACAGCTAGAACAAAATCAACTTAATGGCTATCTCGACCTCCATATATACAGAATGAAACTCGGAATAAACACTATAATATTATAAGACGAGCGAAATGCATGGTTTATTCATATCCTACAAGGGTACCTAACTACTGATAAAATAATGCATTCCAATCTCTATAAGTAAGAACATAAGAAAAAGTATTTAATTAGCTAAACTCAGTACAGAGTTGATTTGTAGTTAGGTCAGAAGTTAATATTAATACAGGGTAGCCCAAAATATTTACCCACATTTTGAATGCTCTTATAACTATAGTAAAGCAAACTATGAGCTAGCAAAACATTTTTATTAATATTTCATAGAACAAATTAATTTTACATACACTGCTGAATCATTTGAGATGCTCAAACTGGACTCCACCAGTGTTCAAACAATCATGACATCTATGAAGGAGTGTCTGACATGCTGTTTCACAATTTTCAACTCTGATTCAATGGAAAGCATTTGTGATATGTTAATTTGTTTAGTTTAGACATTCTTTTTTATTATCTGAAATCAAAATAAAATGTTTAGAATCGGTATACAGAAGTTGAATAACTTAAAGGATGGGTACCTTTTTTTGGGCCACACTGTATGCGATGCTTAGTTTGAGCTTATCATAAATTGAAACTTACCACCCAACACTGCCACCTTCTTTCATCAGAACATCCTGTTTATTGAGTTTTGTTGTTTTTCCCTAACTTGTATTTGTTTACATAGACCTAGCTGCAACAACATGCTTACATCTATCACAAGATCCCCAAACATTCTGCCTGGACTAGTGTTTGTTGATGAATAATAGACTGGTAAGAACAAGAAAATTAGTGTTTCGGTACTTTGATTTGATTAGTTTTAAACCTAAAGTACTCAAAAAAAAGAAAAAAGAAGTTAAAATAACTGTTATTAAAGGTTTTGTGATTTATAAAATACTGCAAGGTGTAGTGAATCTTCTGTAATCCACATAAAGTTTACGATATTGTAGTTATTGATAGCAGTTAAGTTTTTCATTTCAAAACAACATGAAATATGCTGCTTTATTTTCTTTTTAAAAGCCAGAAGTGTTGCTAATTAATTTTGCTTGTTTGTGTGGGTATTAACACAACTGTTAATTACTATATTTACAACTTGTGATAACAGGTGGTTGCAGAAAATAAGAAAGGATATCTGTGTGGAAAATATTGATGTGTCGAAGAGAGAATATGCCGATCACTTGCTTTCACAAAATCTTGAGAGTGAATTAATGTGGTTGAAGTGAGTTTATTTTTAGGTTTTACTTTGTCCCAAGTTATTAGTTTGATTAAAACTGCTAATCTAATTTATTTATTACTGTAGTTTTACAGATTAAAGCCATTTGCAAGTAAAGTGTCTGCTTAATTGGTAATGAACACTTCTATAAGCTTCTATAGGGCTGGAATATGAATGAAAATTTGTACAAGCACTGAAATGACAAATAGATGGGAAAGATGTGCCTCTGCTTTGTTGGTTTAGTACAAAGTAAACTTTCTGTTTTATTAAAATGTGGCTTTTGAACCAAATTTTTAAGGTGGGTTTTTTCTAAGTTACTAATGTTATTTTATGTGTCTTAAAAATTACAGGAGTTTTGTCATACATAAATTTATTGCTACATCCGAACTACTCATTATTAGATAGTGTTCTGCATTGGTTTGTAACTAGTTATATGAAATTGCTGTAACTGTTTATTATCAGTATTTCTAAAACAGATTTTTTTTAAGTGGGCAATATTGATAGTGTTGTAAAATTTAATTAGATTTTTTTGAAGAGAATGTTATTAGTTGATTCACAAGGAAAAGCACTTTTTTTTTACACACAAAAGCTGTGACCGTATTATGGAAGCTGATTCATTGTGGTGTTAGCTAGAAAGCAAATATAGATTAGAATATATTTTAATGTAACAAAAAATAAAATAAAAATCATGTGCCTTCCACCAAAATGTAGGGGGGGGGGGCTTTATTAACTATTGAGGTACCATAATAGAGAAGCTGTACCAATAAAATAAATATGAACTAGATTTCCGTAAGAAGTTTACCAGTCTTTTTATATATGCTACAAAGCAATGAGACATTTGACCAGATTTGCTGATCTGTTGGGTAGTGGTTCATCGATGTTACGTGGACATGCTTTGAAAAGCCTCCAAACTGTCGCCAAAAACTTTATGATATGGTTAAGTTGGACATCCTTGTGTATCTTGGCTACACTTTCACGTCTAACTCTTGGTGTTTATAAAATGGCACAAGCTTAATTTGGCAGTATGGCACTATCAGTGCCAGACTTCCACATTTGTTGATATTACTGATTGAAGTGTTCTTATGGACTATATCTCTGAAAAAAAAGTTCTCCGTCTCATTCTATACTGTTTATAACATTTTTCACCTGACAGTTGTTTCTTCTGCTTAGCACACAGTTTGGTTTTATGGCTTGTCTCAGAAAATGATGAAAGTTTGTACTCCTATGAGTGGTTTTCCTCTAACTGTAGGAGTATCTACTCAACTGAAAGTTTATATTCATCCAGACGTTCTTCCTCTAACTGTCTGAGTATCTGCTCAGCTGAAAGCTTGTATTCATCCAGACGTTCTTCCTCTGTCTGAGTATCTACTCAGCTGAAAGTTTGTATTCATCCAGACATTCTTCCTCTAACTGTCTGAGTATCAACTCGGCTGAAAGTTTGTATTCATCCAGACGTTCTTCCTCTAACTGCAGGAGTATCTACTCAGCTGAAAGCTTGTATTCATCCAGATGTTCTTCTTCTAACTGTCTGAGTATCAACTCGGCTGAAAGTTTATATTCATCCAGACGTTCTTCCTCTAACTGCAGGAGTATCTACTCAGCTGAAAGCTTGTATTCATCCAGACGTTCTTCTTCTAACTGTCTGAGTATCAACTTGGCTGAAAGTTTGTATTCATCCAGATGTTCTTCTTCTAACTGTCTGAGTATCTACTCGGCTACTTATCAGCCATACCACTATCAAGAAATGCTATGATATTTTTCAAACCATACTGAACACTACATTATGGATGCTTGTCCATTTACTTGTAAATTTACCTGGGTGGAGGTTGGGAGTCATACAAATGTAAAAATATAGGGTGATTTATTTATACTGTAAGGTTATTTGAACAATTGCCTTTTACATCAAAATATTAGGGGTGAATTCTTTCCCACAGCTGGTTGTGGACAGGGAGAGGCAGTAGGAGTTGAGATGTTGTGCGTCGAAACACTCAACTCCTAACCCCTAATATTATATTCTGTAATGGCTACCTAATTTGACATTTGTGTTTGGATCATGTTTGATAGATGAAATATCTTCAGTATTATGAGTTAATGAATAATAAAAACGACTGGCAATGGACAAATTTTTCTTCTTTGGTTATAATCTTGTAACAGACATTTCAGTTTTGTTTTTTAAACTAACTTTCGTAATTGTTTTATAGTGCCGTTTTGATGTAATTTATAGGATCAAAACTGCTTACTTACTTTTACCTACATATATACATACATTCAGTTAAAGAAATAATGTTTTGGTTTACAAAATGAGCTAACCACTCCTCTTTTTTTGGTCATTGTTATTTTCAGGCTGTTTCTTCAAAGAGCAGCATCCCCAGTGGTTTTTTGTCATAATGATCTACAAGAAGGTGTGTAATTCATCATACTAGCTTCTCACACAACGAAGCAAACATATTGGTTATTTTTAAATATTTATATAATAAATATTAAATGTATAATACAGTGATTTATAGAGCTGTAAAAGATTTCATCTTACAGGTTAATCATTATAAATGGGTTATGAATTAGTAAACATAAGTTTTGTAGTCAAACTGCTAATGAATGAAAGAACTTAAGACATTCACCATGGAATTTGGTAGTACTGTGGCTACTTTTGTAGATTTACTGAATTATTTATAGACAGTTAAGTACAACTTTGATTGAACACGAACTTGTCTGTTATTTTTTCAAAATTGACAACTTATCAGTAGAATAAAACTTTTTCAGAATTTTATCAAGAACTAGAAAAATAACTTAAAAAAATAAATAGATTTTTCATCACATTTATATACATAATCTAAATTATTTTATCGAAGATAGATTTGACCCATTTCGGGAGTGGTCATTGAGCCAAAAACTAGTTCCAATAAAAGAATTTGGATTGCTTATATAGATATGGTGAAAACTTTTTTTGGGGGTTTTTATTCTAGTTTGATATTACATACATTACAATAGAATGATTCTTCAATGTTTTATCTAGAGGTTTCGCTAATCTGTAGTGTAAAATTATGTAATTTAAATGAAAATATAATGAATGTGACAGCTTAATATTACATGAATTTACAAATTGTGAGCACATTTCAAGACTGTGTGACTTGGTAAGAATGAGAATATATTTGTATTGCAGTTATTCTGCGTGATTAATTTGATTACTCTGTAAGCTGTTTAGTAATAACAGCTGTTATGGAAAAGTTTCTTGTTAGTAAACTTGTACAATTTAACCATGCTTACTTCTCAGTAAGAAAAGATTTTGTTTTTCATAGACTAGCAAAAGCTTTGTTGTAGTTCTATAAACTTGGAACATTAAATGAATTATTCCTGACAAGGCAGGAAGCTCGACTTGCAATCTGCAGATCTTGGGTTCAAATCCTGTCACCGAATACGCTTCTTCTTTCAGCCGTGGGGGCATTATAATGTGACAGTCAATCCCATTGTTTATTATTAAAAGAGTAGCCCAAGAGTTTACTGTGGATGAAGTTGACTAGCTGCTTTCCCTCTAGTCTAGCACTGCTAAATTACGGACCACTAGCACAGATACATTTAAGTAGCTTTGCACAAAAATTAAAAACAAACCAAAACACTAAATTACTGAATTTTTCCTTTCAGATAGTTTTGGAATTTTTTTGAAAACCACAGTAATTATTAATTATATTAAAACAGTGAATTGAAAGTGACTGTGATAATACAATGACTGTAACATTATTTTCATCAGGTAATATTTTACTGCCTGAAA